TTCATCCTCCTGTCCCTGTAAAATATCTAGTAGCTCCAAGATAGCAAATGTAAAATTACCCAAATTAGAGTTACCAAAGTTCAATGGAGATGTAACTCTGTGGCAGTCATTTTGGGACCATTTTAAGACTCATGTGCATGAAGCTGACATTCCAGTGATAACTAAGTTTAGCTACCTGCAGTCATTATTGGAAGGACGTGCTAAAGGTGTTGTAAAAGGATTTGCACATACCGAAGCAAATTACCAAATTGCTTGTGATCTGCTGAAAAAAAGATTTGGAAGACCTGAATGTATTAACTTAAAACATGTGCAAGCACTTTTGAATAGTAGGTTTTCCGAGAAAGGCAAAGGACTAAAGTATGTGTCCTCTTTGTGAAGTCTACTTGATGAATTGCTGACCCACATCCGTAGCCTACAGGCCTTGGGAGTAACAGAGGAGCAGTGTGAAGTGTTCCTGACCCCTCTCATCCTGTCATGCCTTCCTGAGGAGCTAAGATTGGAGTGGGCTAGGGAGGGCTCTGGCCGTGAGAGTGACATCAGTTGGCTGCTGCAGTTTCTTCAGAAGGAAATTGAGAGAATTGAGAGATCAGAAACCTTCAAAGTTGTGTTGGGGAAGGCAGAAGGACGTTTTGTGGAATCTGAGAAAAGAAGAGTGCCGTCTGCATCAGCTCTTTACACATCGTCTGAAGTAGGATCATCTTATTGCGCATTCTGTAGCAAGGAACACAAGTCTGAGAAGTGCTGGGATATTCAGAAGCTCTCATTAAAGGAACGTGAAGAAAAAAATAAAGCAGCCCGTTTATGTTTTAAGTGCCTAAGTAAAGGGCATATTGCCAGTGGCTGTCGAATCAAGTGTTCCAAGTGTAATGGAAATCATAATTCTCTTCTGTGTAGAGCAAAAGGTGAAATAAACACAGCCACCTTGTTGTTTGATACTGGCTCCGATAGATCCTATGTATCCAGTAATCTTGTGAAGAAAGTTAAGCCTAAGTGGGTGAGCTCGGAAACAGTGTCATATGCTGCTTTTGGAGGTAGAAAGTCTCCTCCAGGTAAACAGAGTAATATCTTTGATTTGAAATTAGTGGGTTTACAAGGTGTAAAACATTTAATGGCATTAGAGATTCCAAAGGTTTGTGCCCCGTTAACTAGACCTTGTATTCTTAGTAAATTGGTTGATGCCTTTTCAGACTTTCAAACTTGCTGATGATTACAAGAATAATAGCCACCTAAGTATAGATATACTTGTAGGTTTGGATGCTTATTGGGGATTTATGGACCCTGAAATAAAGCCATATCAGAGTAATGGATTAGTAGCTCAAAAGTCATTTGAGTCTACCCAAATGTTATGCATAGGGAATGTAACGGATTCTGATTTAAGTGAATTTTGGAGTTTAGAATCTGTTGGAATAAATCAAAAGGAAACTGTTTCTAACCCATTTACCTCAGACCCTGTTCTACAGCAATTTTGTGGAAATGTTAAGTTTGATGGGGAGCGTTATGAAGTAGGCTTACCCTGGAAGTCAGATGAATGTAAGAAGAATCTTAGAAATAATGAGGGACTTGCTAGAAAAAGACTAGAAGGATTACAGCGTAAGTTAGATAAGGACCCACAACTTAAGAAACAATACTCTGAGGTGTTTACTGGCTATGAAGAAGAGGGAATAATTGAGGAAGTCCCTTCAAATGAGGTTTTAAGTTCTCAGCCTACATATTATATGCCTCATCGTCCTGTTGTTAAAGAAAGTAGTGCTTCAACTAAGATTAGGCTAGTTTTTGATGCTTCTGCAGCTAGTTACAATGGCATTTCTTTAAATGATTGTCTTGAGTCTGGTCCTTCACTTAATCCTGATCTAGTGAAAGTTTTGATTCGTTTCAGAAGGTGGAAGGTTGCACTGACTGCTGATATTACCAAGGCTTTCTTACAGATCTGTGTTCAGGAAAAGGACCGAGATGTGCATCGCTTTTTATGGAAATGCAAAGACTCCATTAGAATTATGAGGTTTGTTTGTGTTCCCTTTGGCAACACAAGTAGCCCTTTTTTGCTAAATGCAACTATTAAACATCACTTACAGTCTTTCCCTAATACTGAAGCCATAGAAGAATTAAAGGAAAACCTTTATGTGGATGATTGGCTGTCGGGGGCAGACAGTGCAGAAGAGGCTTCTGTTAAGTTTAAAGAAGCTCAGAGAATTTTGGCATTAGGTGGATTTCCTCTTTCTAAATGGCATTCAAACTGTAAATTACTGACTACAAAGTTCAATGACAAAATTGATCATGGTAATGAACACGTATCCACCAAGGTTTTAGGTATGAAGTAGTTATTCTTAACAGACCAGTTTGTCTTTGAGGAATTTGATTTTGATTCAGAGACACAGTTGGTGTCAACAAAAAGAGCAGTACTTAGTCTCATAGCCAAACTTTTTTACCCTCTTGGTTTGATTAGTCCCTTTGTCATGTTTGCTAAAATCCTCTTTCAGGACATATGGAGACTTGGGCTTGATTGGGATGAAGTACTACCTAATGAGTTGCAAAATAAGTTCCATAATTGGGTTAAAAGTATTGCTGCATTTAAATATTGGAAGATAAATCGGTGCTATTTTCCAGAAATTTCATGGAGAGAGTTGTCGGGTCTAGAACTTCATGCCTTTGGTGATGCTTCAGAGAAGGGGTATGGAGCTTCTGTGTATTTGAGAGTTCCCCTTGTGGATGGGACATACCAGGTGTCATTTGTAGTATCAAGGTCTAGGGTAGCTCCTATAAAAAGGGTTACTTTACCCTGACTAGAGTTGCTTGGTGCTTTACTTTGTGCACGGCTCTTAGATTTTGTGAAGTCTGCCCTATATCTTGATAAGACTGTAACTTATTGTTGTTGGACTGACTCAAAGGTTGCACTTGCATGGATAAAGTGTAATCCTTGTAGGTGGAAGGCATTTGTCTCACCTCCCCATGTCACTGGTACCATTGTTCAGGGAAGGAAAATCCTGCTGATCTCATTTCTAGAGGGGAGTTAGCTGAGCCACTTGTGAATTCTACTTTATGGATGAATGGGCCTTCTTGGTTGTCTAAACCTTTAACTTTAAGTGGCAGAGGAGAAGCTGTGGAGCTACCTGTAGAAGAAAGTTACAGTGAAAAGAACATTTCTTGTGTATCTGTAACCACTCCTAAAATATTTGAGTTTGAGAGATGGAGTCAATTCAATAAAGCCCATCATGTAGTGGCTTGGGTTATGAGATTTATAAACAATACCCGACCTCATTCTGTAAAAATGTCAGGTCCATTGTCTTCTGATGAGTTTGTTAAAGCCAAGACCAAATTGCTTTACTATGCACAGAGAGAGAAATTTGCTCATGAAATTGCCGACTTGAGAAAGGGAAAAATCTCCTGCAAGGAGTTCCCCTTTGTGTAGACTAGATCCCTTTGTAGATGATGAAGGCCTGTTGAGAATTAAAGGACGTTTGGAGAATGCAGACTTGAGTTTTGAAAACAAACACCCTGTTATAGTTCCCTCAGGTCATGTTGCTAAGCTCTTGGTTCAATTTCAGCATATTTTCTTGAAGCATGCTGGAGTATCCACCATTGTATCTACTTTAAGAGGCAGCTATTGGATAGTGGGAGTCAGACGAATTGCTAAAACTGTTTGTAGAGTGTGTGTTCGGTGTAAGAGGTTTGATTCCAGGGCTTGTAATCAGCCTGCTGCACCCCTACCAGGATTAAGAGTTAAGATTGCTCCTCCCTTCAGTGTGACAGGTCTTGATTATGCTGATCCTCTTTTTTGTATTGATTTACCTTCCAAGAAATTATACATTTTGTTGTTTACATGTGCCGTAATAAGAGCAGTGCACCTAGAACTTACTGATTCATTATCTCTCTCCGATTGCATGCTGGCTTTACATAGATTTGCAGCACGAAGAGGCATTCCTTCTGTCTTTTATTCAGATAATGCTAGAACATTTTTGGGTGCAGCTCGTCAACTTCAGCAAGAATATGGTCCACTGTCTCCTCAGTGGAAATTCATTGTGTCCCGTTCTCCATGGTGGGGAGGTTGGTGGGAACGTTTGATTAGGTCTGTTAAGTCTGCTTTGAGGAAAACAATAGGTATTAGAAGTCTGTCTAGAATTGAGCTTGAGACCACTCTTCAAGAAGTTGAGGCATGTGTAAATTCTAGACCTTTGACCTTTGTTGGAGATGAACCTGATGTTTCAAATCCTTTGACACCTTCACACTTTCTCATAGGACGTAATGCTGGACTCGAGATTTGTGATCAACCTTCATATGTTACAGGAAAGGATTTAATTATCCGAGAAAGTGTTCGCCAGCAGCAACTTGATAGATTTTGGAAATTATGGAGCAATGATTATCTGAGAAATTTGCCGCCTGCTATGAAAGGATTTGTGCAAAATTGCAATGTAAAGAAAGGTGCTGTTGTCCTAGTCAGAGAAGACCATGTTCCTAGGCTTAAGTGGCCATTAGTTGTAGTTACTGAAGTATTCCCTGGTAATGATAATATCATTAGGAGTGTTAGGGTTAAAACTGACAAAGGAACAGTCAGTAGACCAGTGCAGAAGTTGCATGATCTTGAAATGTATAATCCTCTGTATGAAGATTCTGAAGAAAATATACCATTAGTTCTTGGAAACGGTGAAAATGGTTCCTCTGAGCCTTGTGAAGAGAACATTGTGAAACCTACCTCCTGTAGTCGATGGGGTCGTGCAATAAGAACCCCAGTGAAACTTGATTTGTAATGATTTGTATTTTTTGAAAGTGTACTTTTTTGTTTTTTGTTTTTTTCATGTTTCTTATGGTTAAGATAAGAAAAGGTAATGAGTTCAATATTATGTCAGTATAAATGCAATCTCTTCGGAGAAAATTGTCATATTAATTTTCTCAGGATTTTATTACCTCATTTAACTATACTTAGTCTATGATAGGAGTAAGTCCTCCTATGGTGGGGAGTATGTTAAATGTTAGTTACCCCTTTGATGCTCAGAACACCACGTTTT